CTGGGTATACTTGGGAGTTCAATAATGAGAGTATATGTGTGTTAGGAAGGTTCAATGAATATTACGTGTGGTGGAGAGTTTAATTTAATGAGATTCTGTCTGGGTATATGCTAGGGAGTTTAATAATGATAATATAGTTATGCTATAGTTAGGGAGTTACTGAGTTCAATAATAAGTTTATTCATACTAGGAAGTTCAATTTGAATCTAGATATGCCAGGTAGTCAATGTGTCCTAGGGAGTTCAATAATGAGTTTATGCATACTAGGGAGTTTAAATTGAATCTAGATATGCTAGGTAGTCAATGTGTGCTAGGGTGTTCAATAATGAGTTTATGCATACTAGGGAGTTCAATTTGAATCTGGATATCAAGCTAGGTAGTCAATGTATGCTAGGGAGTTCAATAATGAGTTTATGCATACTACTAAGAAGTTCAATTTGAATCTAGATATTCTCAGTAGTCAATGTGTGCTAGGGAGTTCAATAATGAGTTTATGCGTACCCCCGGTACTAGGGAGTTCAATTTGAATCTAGATAAGCTAGATAGTCAATGTGTGCTAGGGAGTTCAATAACAAGAATGTAGGTGTGCTTGGGAGTTCAAGAATAAGAATCTAACAGATAAATACAAATGAATATACATCATTCACATCAAAAGAATACAAGTTTCTACAGAACTAAACTTCCATTTGTTCAATAATTTAACAAAATAGTCGATAAAGAAGGCAACCTGTAATGAAACAGAAAGAAACAAATGTTATTGAACCAAATTAATCGAGTATTAAAAACATAAAAAACCACAAAAAACCACCCACACCCAAGATTCATTATAGTTGTTTTGTTCATAATGCATTGTAATGTTAATATTCTTGAACTCCCTTTACAATGTTCTTGAGAGATTTCATCCATTTTTAATAAATGTCAAATGCGGATAAAATGCTAATACTACCCGGTAATAATTATGTATAATTTGAAAATTTAGGACAGAAAAATGTTGTGATTTAGCTATATAGCACTATTCTCACAGAACGTTCTACGTTGCTAAGATGCGCACCACTGTACCATGTACCATGTATTTCTATGGGTTCTGCGCAAGCTGCTGTGGAACACCAGTCGAAGAGCCGGTGAAAATAGCTGAAGTCAAGAACAGCAAAAACTCAACATTGAGGTAATCCTGAACAACCAAATTTACATATGTTGTACATGTAGGGGTAATCTTGTCATACTGTTCAGGAGAATCTCAACAAATAGCTCCAAAACACTTTGCTTAATTAGAATTTTTGACTCAAGACCACTGTATTTTAGAATTTCTTCTAAATTTGATTTCAAGATTCTGTTGGATAAGATTTCTCAAAAACTGTCTAAAGCCCTTAAAGTGTAACTGAATTGGGACAATTGACTTTTTTTGTGTGCAAAATTTATTTATAAAAACGTTATGAAAAAAAATCAAGTGAAAAATGTACATAAATTAAGTAAACGATCAATAATAATGTTCTGGATAAGGACACGCCCACGTTCAGTTTCTTGGTCGACTCAGAGCGAGGCTCCAACTAGAGTACCTAATTAGCATACAAGGGTACTTTGTGACGTCACGGGGGGAACTTGTCATCGTCTCACAATGGCCGCTATACGTATGCAGTGCTCGGAAAGCGACACGGAATCTATGTTATCGTCTGACGAGAGTTATGAAATCGAAGAGTATGATGACAATGAGAGATGTCACGATTTTGTTTTAGAGTGCCAGGGACAAATTGGCCCATACAGGTTTGAACCTGCAAGAAAAGTACGCGATGTGGGTGATCGTGTACCTTCCCAAAATGACCGTGACACAGAGTTTGAACATCTTGACCGGCTTGGTTTCCAGTTTCTGTCTTTTGTTCATCCAAATTCTAAACACATATCAGTGTGCAATTTTCAGTTTCTTGATCTTCTGAAGAAATCATGTAAAGACACAAAGTACGTGAACGGTGAATGCGTCCAGTGCTTACATTTTCCAATCGCCATTTTGTGTTTTGTTGTTGTTGTTCCACGATCGATCTAGTTATTTCGACTCTGGCATAATAACATGAATACATTCTAAACTTTTC